TATGGTAGAGCAGTGCCAACCTTGTCATGACTTCTTCCTTCCTTGCAATGTGAACCTTCAGACTTGTAACATACATGTACATGTACATACATGTACATGTATAAACAGGTGGGTATGGAAGGGTAGAAATAGGATTGATGGTGCTTTTTCCGCTTCTTTTGAAGACCATGCATATGGACTTGTAAGTACATTACATGTCGCTTCTATTTCAGATTTAGAGGTGTGTGTGTTGCCTGAGGCCATTTCCATGTTGAGGGGATCATTTTTTGTTTAGAAAATTGAGACAGAGTTGTAGGGACAAAAAATCTGTCCCAATAATGTTTTGGTCCCAATTTTTTTAAAGGCTCGAAGGGTTTAGAAAAAAGTAGTAAAAATTACTGGACAAAATCATTGAAAATTTAATATTTTAAGACTTGTTTTGACTTTCTGACTTAAAAAATATTTATGAATGGGAGCAAAAGTGTGCTTCGCTGGTCTTAAGTGTTCACTTCAGATCAGCTCAGGGGAATGAATGCTGATGAAGTCCTTTGCCTTGGGCTGAGGTATTAGCAGCATTTATTCTCATGATCCATTCTTAATGACTGTTCAAGACCGGAAAAGCACATTTATTCCCTTAATTTACACAGTTTCAGATGAGCTGAACACATTTACATGTATATTTGGCACTACAAGATTGATACATGAATGATGTAATAAATGTAACACATTCCAGAAACATCTGGTGTTACGTTAGCTGGAGATCAACTGGCATTTTAAGCCACTGAACTAATTATACTCTCTCAAAATCAATAACATAGACAAAGGTCTCCTTCTTCTCTGAAGTGGGACAGTGCTGAGTGCCTAGGCTGCCTGTTCTTGTAAGTCTCCATTGTCTGTAACTAAATCTGTAAGTACTATTGCCTTAAGGAATATCTTGAGTGGGGCTTGCATGGTGAACAGCATCAGAGGTCACTAGGAAGAGGACTTTGAAGATTGATGATGACAGCTATTTGCCTCAGCAGTGTAAAGCACATATTGATTTCATTGTTGACATTTAAGCGGCTAATTTTCTTCTGCCTTTGAGAAAGATTCAACAAAGATTGAAAATGTCATGCCCTCGAACATTTTCAGGAAATTTCTGAGCTAAAATCCCATCTCGATGTGGTACATTTAGTTTGACAAGTGGGCCATTGGTACTGTTGAAAACTACGGGGGCAAATGGTCAAAATATATGGTCAAAATGACTTCCGATTATCAGAATACATTGCACCTGTGTCATGCAAAAACCAAATATCTGACAGAAAAACAGCACTGGCAAAATTTCTGTAACTCAAAACTGATGTAGAAAGAAAAGTTTCAAAAGAAAAAAGAACATTTTAAACAGCAAGGCAATCACACATTACATCACTTCAGATATCACTCAAAGTCAACACTTAATTCATATCATTAAGATGACGCTGTACTTTTCAAAAGAAAACATACAATTCATAAAAGCAGTCTTTGAAAAATAACCTGTAATGAGTGATTACTAAGCAATTTGTGCATATTTTTTTTGGTCAGGTGAAAGGGGAGCCATACCGTGGAGGCTGATTCCACATTCTCAGCACTGTTGGTGACAGATGAATGCTGGGAAGGGGGACAACTTAAGGATGTGGGTAGGCACAGACACGCCATGCATGATGGAAATGACCAACGTGCACAGCCCTTGCAACAGCACCCTCGTTTGTTCACTGGGCCACCTCCTCCTCCTCTGCTGACTTTGCCTTCTCTTAGACAACGTTCATCCATCTCCTCTTGGAACGTCAAACTTGTTTCTAGACAAATTCCGGACTCGTAAGTCATGGTTCCTCCTTTGGAGCTCTGTTTGTTATCAGCAGCCGTTGCCCCAACCAGAGTCAGGCCTTCTGTATCCAGCCCAAACTCAGTGCTGAGACTGTGAGGGTTCTCATGGAGCCGGTTACTAACCGCTGAGTGGAATGTAGCATAGACGACATCAGCATCTTCAAGTCCGCTGAGCTTCTTGAGGGCTGTAAAGTTGCATCCACAGCAGCTGTCATCGGTTAAGTCCAGATATTCAAAGCTATTTGCAGATCGGCAACACCTTGTTAGTCAAACAAAGAAATAAAAGGTGGATTTCTTTAATGTAAATGGGTAATTTGGAACTTGAGTGATGCATGCCTAGGACTGCAGAATAACTGCAACTCATCAAGTGGTCTTATCATGAAGCTAAGTTCTTTAAACATGTATTGGAAATCAAGACTGCATTCCACCCTCAAAAAACTCTTTGATTTTGGCCACTGCTTTGGTAAAGATCTTAAAATTTCCTATCAAATCTAAACAGGTACAGACCTCCAAAACTTTGTTGGCACTTCACAGGCGAACTGTGAGGCCCAATAACGAATAAAGAAACAATGTCATACACAAACTAGACAAGCTCACACAAATGAAGAACCCAACAGAGCGGTGGCAGTCACATGCTACATCACATCTCAAACTCATTCATAATCAACCATTTTTCAAATCAGGTTGCATCCAAAAAGGTATGTTGTGGCCAACATTGCAATTTTTGCCACCAGTGCTACGAATAATTGTCAGATCCACACCAGCAGGCAAAAAAGATGATAAAAGTAGATCACCGATGTCCACAGACAATGTACAACACTGGCACCAATAATCCATTCCTGAGAGTTCCAACAGAGAGAGTTTCACTCACAAACATCTTCCAATGAGATGACAACATCCCTTGCCTGGATGGAACATTGCATAGACAGGCCAACCATATGCTGCAGCTGCGTACTTGAAGTAATAAATCAACTCCTCAAATTCTTGGCTTTCATCCTATAGATGAAAGAAAGAAATGGGTAAATCTTGCTATGAAGGGATGAGACTTACATGAAGACTACATTTATCAACCGTAGAATAATTTGAATTTTATCATTTCAGAAAAGCCTATGAAGAAAATAACTACTTCAGTTTGTTTAACGTAGCAACAGGATTATCAAAATATTCATTTTGGATTGTATCTATGTTAATTCTTTCATCAACATTCAATTACATAAATAACTGTCTTCTCTTTACTCCATACTTTTACTTCACAAAACATTAAACTAAATTTGAAACTAATTCCCTAAATTCTCTTTTTTACTGGAGTTATTTGTTGCAAGTACACACGGAATTCCCTCTGCATATTTTAAAACACTTGTACTAAAGTCAGTAGGAATTTTTTATTTTTTCAAGACTGTCGGCTTACATGGTTACTGAAATCAGCAAACTTGGTGTCTGGCGTGATGGGCACTCCAGATAAGAACTTAAGGATGTTATTGTTAGGATTCTGCTCCACTGATCGCCGGCTCTGCTTTTGCTCCTCTCTCAGGAGCATTAAACCAGCCACGATGTCTGATGGAACAATGTCCAAGTCACGAAAGAAATCAGAGAAGAGAAGCGCAATCTCTGTGAAGGCGCTCTACCGGTACATGGAGGTGAATAGAAAAGTAAATAGTCTTTGTGAATGTACAAGAAATGTCGGTTAAATCTTTACCACTTTTCTTGGGAAATCGGGCAAAGCTGCTGAATACAAAATAAAGACTATTCAAGTGTCGCACTGAAAGTTTTCCCAAATACGCCATCTAATATGAATACAATGTATGTTATTCAAATAGAAGAACTGTCCAGATGTTTATAAGAACACTTTACCTCCTGGGGTTCTTGAACTTGTATGCAGCAGCAGTAACGGTGGAATCGTTTCTGCCAATTCTGCTCATACAATGCTCTTGTTTTGCTACAAGTATTCAATGGGGGAAGAATGTAAAAAAAGAAAATGTGTCATTTGGAAAATAACGGAATCAGTTTATGCAAGGTATGAGGTGAACATGAACTATTGGTCTGATATATTGAGGCATACAGTTTATGTGTACTTCTATAGCAGAATTTGTTAAAGAGTATTTCTTCCTCTATCAATTAACACGTAACAATATGAACTAAATGACTATAAACATTTTGTACATATGGACAACACATCCATTGTGAAACAGTCTGTAAAGTAACAAAATGGTTCTGAATCCTGCCAAATATGGCAGAAGATAGAATCAAAGGAAATCAGGGTCATGAGAGACTCACAGTTGTACTACTCTATTTTTTTCCACTCTACTGGCTGAGCGGCGCATTGCACACTGTTTCTCTGTCCGTTTGAGATGAACGAAGCTACGACCGGCCGAGTCATAAAGGCACCAGGCTCTTGCAAGGATGAGGATAACTAAGAGGAGATTGTAGAGCACTATACCTGGAGAAAAGAAATTGATCAACAACGATACAGATGGATTGCCAAGGTAACGCCAACTTACTATTACTTCAGATTTAAGGGTGAAACCATTGCACCTTTGTGTCTCAGTTAACCTTCTTAAGCTTTTAATTCACTATTTCAAATGGTATTTTGACGCCTTTTTGCTTTTTATGCTAATGAGCATTTCCACAGTCATGCCCAAAATTGTGCAATCAGTGTTATCTCCACAACGCATCATCAAATTAAAATGAAGTCTATAGTTTTGACAAGATAACCTCCCACAGGTAAGCTTCAATTTGGTACCAAAACCAATTTCTGAAAATAAGCCTTTTGCGAGTTAAATTTAAAAAAAATCTGGTACACTGAGTTCTTTAAATTCACATGAATGTAACAATTGGAATTCTCCATGCCAGAGACACTGTTGCAGTTACTCGTGATTTGGGGCAAGTTTTTGCTTAGTTATACCGGTACATGTATAAGTGGCGTCTTGCACCAATACCAGGTACACTGTTTTTCAATGGATAAGAAGGGCACAAAGGAACCAATCCATTCCAGAGACAGCGGTTACTAAGCAAAAGCTTACCCCAAGTCATAAGGTACAGAAACAGTGTCTGTAGTTTGGGGAATTCAAATTACATGTACTGTATGTTTATGTTATCAAATACCTCATTGTACCAGTTTTTATTCAAATTTAACTTGCAAAAGGCTTACAACACGTACAGTGTATGTAAATTGGGAGAAAATGAAAGTTACAAGTACTTCTGAGTTGAATCTTTTTGGGATCACCCAGTGCAGCATGGAGAAGATAAATGTCAATTAATATAAGGAATGGAAGAGAAAGAAAATTCTTACCTAGTACTGAGCTTTTGATGGCCAGGACTTTGCACTGTGAGTATGACTGTGCTAACCAGACAATGCCAAGAATGGTCCAGATTGAACACAGTAGGAGTAACACTGTCAAGAAAAAGGAGGAAACAATATAAAACAAAGCTGAGTTATTGTGAATTGGTACATGTATGTTGCTTGTTGAAGTGGCATGTAAAATGGTGTCACCGAAGCCAGTTGGGCTAGTTTTGACATGAGGATACTGGTATGTTTGACACTATTTTGTTTCGGAACCAGTTGACTGTTACATGTACATGTATATGCATGCATCTGCATTAATCAATCAGAAAAATGGCTCAAGACAGATCCAAGATGGACATACAGTACATGTATGGTACATGTACACTGTACATGTACAGTGTATTTTGGGTGTGAATACAGATCTGATATACATGTACCACCTGGGATGCGCTTTGGTGACAGGATTTGAAACAAAATGGCTTTAGTGAAGACAGCAACTCTATACATGTACATGTAGATACCGGTACGTTGCATGGCGCTATTCAAAGCATAATTTCGAGGTTAAAGGCGAGCATATTCATTTGTTGAAGTCGAGGTTTAGTGCTAGTTTCAAATATGACAAACACATTCTAGCATTTAGGAATTTTTTCAAAACAATCCTGTAAGAGTGTGAAAATTCTTTTGATAAAACCTGGTCAAAATATAACAGAACAGAAAAAAAAACTTTTCCCTAAATAAATTTTTTCCAGCTTTCAAAAAAGTGACTCTAGAACTCTGATTGTACTATGTACATGTATGTCACTAATCCGATTATGTTGTATTCAATAATACAACATATTAACAGAAAGTCAACAATGAACAATAGTGGAAAAGTATTCATCAAATCTAAAGAGATGACAGTACATGTGCCTAGACGTATTTTGTTTTTTATTAAATTCAATCAATACACGTAGTCTAAACAGCTGGTTACAGTAGTAAGATTACTATTAAAAATAAAAAATATTTTGTTACTAGTACATGCAGTACAATGTACATGTACAGGTACCAATGGTCCTCACACATCATCATGCAGTCTTTGAAGAATGTAAACCCTTATTTGTCGAAATGGATGAAACCAAAATGGTTTAAACAAACCAGTTTATTGTGGTGTGAAGGCAGGTACAGTTCTTGCCTGCCTCGGCTTGAGGGTTGAGAATAAATCTTATACATATATGTGGTGGCAGTTGTTATGCTTGACCCAATTCCTTGACTTCAGGCCAAGAAAACTCTCTCCAGGGGGATAGGCTATCCTTTCCAAGCTCACACATGTAATCTGATTGTGTCTCTCTTGTTTAGGCTGTCGACTACATGTACATGTACTGCAGTACATGTGATGAGGGCCGCTGGGCCTACTCTCTCTCATGTTACCAACAAATAACTTGTCTTTTGTGAGGGGGATGCATGGCAAGTGTGTTCATAACCGATTGTTTATTTTGTTGGCCATGTACACATGTACATGTGTGATGACAACGGAATACCCTTACATGTTCTAATCTCTCTGTACAATGAACACAGGCGACAGAAAAATCAGTGTTTAATATGGAGTTCAGAAGGCCTCTCAGAAACCATGAACAAGTGTAATAATGCAAAACGTTGATATTAGAAGTATTTCAGAATCAAATTGCCTTTTCTCTTCACATGCAACTGCTATTTGGCCAATAGTACATGTACCAGTGGTTAGTAAACTGTCATAAGCTGGCCATTATGAAAAATCAAAATAATAATTTACAGAGTATTAAAACCTCCAGTGCACAGCTTCCAAAGCATCAATTAATAAATGCGTACTATTTAAGTACAACTGTACATTTAAACTGTAAATAAAACTACTACCCTCTTCCACAGTGATGGGCAAATGTAAATTTTGAGGCAAAACTGGCATCAACAAATGGTGTACAGTGTACATGTACCGGTACATGCATTTTTGTAAACTTTGGATGCAAAATGCAAATACATGTAGAAGCAGTAAATGTACATGTACATGCACGTATATTGTAGGGTACATTTACATGTACATGTAGGCAGTTAGAGGGAGGAACAGATCTCGTTGCCCATTCAAAAATGCTGGACAAATTCAACTTGTTGACAAAGATGTCAGACTATCGTCAAAGTCTGATGATGTAAAGATTTGCACTTACATGTGCTGTACGTACATGTAGGCCGTGTGCACTGGCAGAGTGTGTCTGATTTGCTCACAATTGAAACCAGCAGTAAATTTCAACCATGAATTTCCATGCTGAACTGCTACATGTTCAACTCTAGCTAAAAAGAAAACCTTCTGGATGAATTAAACCTGTAGACACCAATATACATGTACACATAAATGATGTCTGACTGAGTGTTGACATCTGTGCTAATGTGAGCTACATGTACATGTAAGTGGGCACTCTTCATTCTGGTTAATACAGGAATAGCGATTTCAACCACACATTTCCACCGATTTCTCACAAGCAATTATGTACGTTTATCGCAATATAAATTTTTCAAGTGCAAGCATAGAAGTGGTACAGATATTTAATTCATGCACTGTGGGTACCATGCACATACATGTGTACATGTACACTGTACTTGTACCAGGTCGCAACTTTCATTATGCGATGACAGATCATTTGTAATGTTACCAGTAAATGTACACAATACATAGGAACAATTATAAACACAAGATCAAGGCATTTTACACCATACAACTTCTGAATCTAATTTCATTAATTAGAATTGATTACACCTTTCTGCGTGCAGGAAGATT